CACACTCTTACACTGATATGCACATACATATACATAACAGGACAGCTTGCATTTATATACAGTTCTATACCTTTTTGTACAAAGACTCGACACACAGCACACTCACAGCCCTGTAGATCAACATCGACAACAGGCTTGAAGGATGCTCTGAATTTCATAAACCTGTGTGTGTGTGTGTCCCTCCTCAAGGTGCAGGGACTGAAACAACACCAAACATCTCCTAGTTTGCCTCATTCTCAAAACTTTATGAATTTGATGAGGGTGGATAAATATTCCATCTGCTGTGTTTGTGTGTGTGTGTGTGCCTGACAGTCTCCCAGCAGTCTAAGCCAGTGTTATCCCTCCAGCCGTACCAATCAATAGTATATTTGGAGCTGGCGGCGTGCTTCGTTCCCCCAGCTCTTCTCTGCAGCTGCCAACAGGGTGACCAGCTTAATTCTCTCACAAACACACATACACACACTCACACATAAAATAACTCTCATAACTCTCTTATTCACTTCCATGCACATGTTGACTTGCCCACACTGAAGCAGCCGCCTGCATCATTAGCAGTTTAGTTTGGAGTATGTGAGCTCAGTCAGTTAATGACCAGCTTTCTGTGCTGTTGAGCGGCTGTGGAAAGTCACAGGCAGCGGTTTGGTGGTGGATTTTTTTTTTCTCACCTAGTCCAGCCCACAATAACGTTTAACATCATTTACAGTTGCGGTTGTACAACAGAACCTCATCTGAACCTGACACTTACACTTATTAGGAGAAACTGCCAAGTAAAATGTTGAATAATAAGACTGTTTTCTGCCTACCTTTAAAACCCTTCATTAAGACTGTAAATTACAGTAACTCTCACTGAATTGTGGGCTATAAGATTTGGGCTTTCTACATCTGCCACCCATTGCGCTACTGCTAATGGTAGATATTAGTTCAGTGTACGGTACTTACTCGGTATATTTTCGGATGTTTTGATATTACGACTTTTGCTGTATACTTTTATTGTGTAATTTATAATAGTTGTGTCAAAAAATTAATAGTATGTTTGTACATGTTTGCATTCACGTGTTTGTGTCCACCCTGCCTGGTCCATTATTAACAGCGAGTGAGATGTTATTATTATTGGCGAGATGTACAACATATGCTGTTTTGGCTGCTCTCCAGCCCTGTCTGTCTGTCTGTCTGTCAGTCACACACACACACATACACGCATGCATCCACACATGCACACTCATCATGTTAATAAAATTATTATGTTAATGAAGGCCTCAACAGCACCTGAAATACTTCTCTTTCAGCGTGTGCCTCCCTTTCCCTCCTCTTCCTCGCTCGTCCAGAGGTGAGCAAACGGGCACAAGTGAGGATGAAAGAGAAGGAACAAGCAAGGGAAGATATGATTAGAGGACACACAAGGCAGGATAAGACAGGATGGAGAAGACAGCACAAGGAGAGCAGGCAGGAAATAGGAGTAGGAAGGCAGCCCAGACATAAGACTTTGATACAGGAGTGACTTCTTTCACAGAATCTCTTTCCCCTCCACACACACACACACACTCCAGCTCACAGTACAGTACCTGCGCTAGCCAGCTTGGAGGTCGGACTGGCCCTGACCCATGTTGCGGGCTGTTCCTGCCTTTTCCATCCAGGGACGTTCCTCTCTGTCCCTGCCAGGGGAGGATCAGTGTGCCAGAGTGAGCTGGCAGGGACCAGAGGGGGCATCTGGTGGGCCACGCCAGCACACGGACTCCCTTACTGTAACGGGGCTCTGAAGACCTGCCATCCCATGATGTTTGCCTCTGTATGTGTGTGTCTGTGTGCTACCATCTACACCTCATTCCTTGTTATCTGTACAGCCACTTCAGACAACTTTTTACTGTTTTTATTTTTTTCCTTGAGCAAAATGGCATATTGACTCTCCTATGCGTCTTTTCTCGCTCATCTGTCTCTTCGCTGAATACCTTGGGCAGTCTGTATTGTCCAATAAAATAAATGCAGAAACAGAATAAAAGCAGATGTCCAATAAAACAAATGGTCCCATTTAAAAAAGTAGCAATTTTCCTCTCTCTACTTTCCTTAGGTACTGGAGGACAACGACTATGGTCGGGCGGTGGACTGGTGGGGTTTGGGGGTCGTGACGTACGAGATGATGTGCGGCCGACTGCCATTCTACAACCAGGACCACGAGAAGCTGTTTGAGCTCATCCTCATGGAGGACATCAAGTTCCCACGCACTCTGTCATCGGACGCTAAGTCCCTGCTGTCTGGCCTGCTCATCAAAGACCCCAACAAACGGTGTGTGTTGAGGTTTAGCGTTGGTGAAAATTTTGAGACGTGAACATTGGTAAATTAAGGGTCAGGAAGGAGGTTTTGTCATTTACATTCAAAATCATCTCATTTTGAACACAGAAAGGGATTCATTGTACTCATTTTGCTAAAATGTTTCTGTTCTTAAAAAAATTACGCATATGTGAAGATTGGTATTGATCATTTACACAACATCTGTGTATATACCAAGCAATAAGAGAGATGGTGTGCAGAAGTTTTTTTCACATTTATTCACATAATTCTTCTAAAGAAAGTAATACATATCTCTTCATCACTTCTGAGGACTTTTATAAGTTTGATTTCTGTCTGTTAGGCTTGTTGGTTAAAATCAAATGTTGCCTCTCCTCTCATCTAGGCTCGGTGGAGGACCAGATGACGCTAAAGAAATAATGAGACACAGTTTCTTCTCTGGAATTGACTGGCAGGATGTGTATGATAAAAAGGTATGAATCAATATAATGGTAAAACCTTATGCTTGCACTGTGTAGTGTGCCATTGTTTTGTACTGTCTAATCAAGTATTATAGGATGATGGGAAATGGCTCACCACGAAGATATATAAGTTATGATAATAAGTTATAACAATAACAAGTTATTTCACTCCCTGCATTTCTGTATGTTCACATTTAGTGTATTGTAATTGTGTGCTGAACTGCAATTATCCACAGGCTCAGGGCTAACTCATGAAACACATGCAGATATCTCACAGGATGTGTGCATCAGAACAGACAGGCAGCAGTACAAAGCACAGGGCTTTATGGAGAGGTGTGACCTTGTATCCTGGAGGTCTATCAGTCTATTCATGTGTTTGCTCACACCACAGAGTGTAAGTCAGGTCCTGTGTGGCAACACCTATAGCCTGTTAGGCAGGTGCTGAGCTTCCCCCCTCACTTTAGTCTCTTTTCTCCTGTTCTTCACATCCTCATTTCCTTTCCTCTTCTTCCCTTTTGTCTCTCCTCCCTCCTTTCCTCTTCTTTCTTTAGCTCTCTCCTTCCTTTTTGTACCTTTCCTCATCTCCTTTATTCTCCTTTCATCTCTACTTCGCTTCCCTTTTGTTTCTCCTCCCTCCCTTCCTTTCATTGTGGTAAAACGCACAAAAGTAAAAGTATAAATGCACAACAACACACATCCACACACACAAACACTCACAAACTCACACACACCAGAGCCAGCTCATCATCATTATCATTATATCAGGAGCAGAATCTTAAAGGAGATGTTCAGTATAATTAGATTTTTCTTGTGCTACTTAAAATATTGGCGGCTGCATTTTGAAGCTGTTCGATGGCTTTTTACAGTCATTTACACGACATTGCAGAACTATCTTCTAGTCTACCAATAAAAAGGGCACAGGCAAATGTCTAATCTGACTTACATACAAAAAGCATCACATTTTCTAAAAATACTGAGACGATGAAAGGCTACTTCAATGATGCTGCTGAAGCGTGAGTAAAAATTAGGTCTTTTTTTTTAAAGATTATTCTTTTGCCCCTTATCCGGCCAGTCAGTACAGAGGGCAACAGGATATATGGGGGGGGATTACGTGCTATGCACTTTAACCATTTTTCCACCCTAACCTGCAGGACGTTTGGTGACATCCAGAGGTCCTTGAAGCAGCTGCTTTGTAGTTTGGAGACAGCCAGTGTTACTGTACAATCTAACCTTTCCTCTTTGTGTCCTCCTCACATCTCTGCCTCAGCTGGTCCCTCCATTCAAGCCTCAGGTGACGTCGGAGACAGACACCAGATACTTTGACGAGGAGTTCACAGCCCAGACCATCACAATCACTCCACCAGAGAAATGTGAGTCTCTTCTGTCTCTCTCTGTCTGTTTGTCTCATACATGTATGCACAAACATATGTCCACATTAAAACTTAAGGCCATCTCACTTTCATTACATAGCAGCAGATATTCCCAGTGGAGACAGAATATAGTACTAGTAGTGGATATTACAATACTGTAAAATAGCACACATCCCACCAAAAAGAAATGTATGTTCTGTATATGTTTGAGTACTCTGAATAATTTCTGCAGAGGATCATGATGTTAATAAAGCTGTCCTCATTACAAATTAGAATAAATTATTTGCCGTTGAGTTGCATTTGTCAAGCACCTGCTAGTGATCAAATTCAGCTTTTTTACTCCTATGGATTACTTTAATAATTGCAGTTTTAAACAGTTTAGCAGTGCTCCCTCTCTTTCTTCAGGTGACACATTTCCACTTGAATTAATTGAAGCAACAAAGTGCTCGTAGTAGTGTCTCTGCACTAGTCCTCGGGCCACACGCAGCTCTACAAGCTTTGGAAATAAAGACGCCAGTTTCAAAAATGTTTGCCACTGAATTATGCATGAGTGGAACCGACGTGTTTCTCTGCGCTAATGTGAGTTTCCACTTGTTTTGTGGGTCGCACATCAGTTGGAGAGTGGCACATCAAAGGCACACCTGTTAATTGAATCCTGTTATGTTTAAATAACGTGTTGCAAACACAATGCTTTGTTGTGTTTGATTACATCTTGAGATGATACAATCAACCTGGCAATTTATACATTTCCTGTTTGATTTTATTCATTTATATTAACTGAACTTTTAATGGTAAGTCTTCCAGCCATTAATTACCTCTGAATCAATATTTGTCTGTAGTTGACGAGGACGGGATGGACTGTCTGGACAACGAGAGAAGACCGCACTTCCCACAGTTCTCCTACTCTGCCAGTGGGCGAGAATGAACTGTCCATCACGGTGACATCATCACAGCTGGTCTCTGAGGTCATCAATGTGGGACAAAAAGACCCACAGCTTTGGACCGACCCAGAAGGACCCTGACTTGAAGGATTTTGCCCTTCTCCTCCTCTCCTCTTCCTCTCTTTTTCACCTCTCCAGTCTGCTCCACTGTTTTTATTTTTTATTTTTTGTGAATCCCTTTTTAGAGAGAACTTCCAGGCAAAATTATTTTCTAATCCTGCACTGCAACCCTAGGTGATCCGAACTGTGATGTGATCAGTTACTATGTAATGTCCCTTTAAAGACAGGAGCATCACCGGTGGCCTGCTGTGCTTTGACATGTGTCGGTCCTGCCAAACTAAAAAAACAAACACTTAGATCAAGTTAGACAACAGCTGATTCATTTTTAACGAGACGTTTTTGTGGCTTCTCATCTGTAAGACCGAGTTACAGAATTTGAAGTCATTCAAACCCAAACTGCCGTTACCGGTTTGTATCTCAGGCTTTTACAAACAGACAGATAGTCAGACTCGGAGAGACACTCGGGTCTGATTTAATATCCTCGCATTAATAATTCTGGGATTGATTGAGGCTGCCTGGCATTGAGCAGAATCCTACACACCTCATGTTGTCAAGCAGGATTTGACTCAGGTTTTGCTCAGTGCAATTCATTATTGTTGTTGCTGCTATTTCAACTACTATCACAACTACTACAGGTACTACTACTGCATATATACTACTACTACTACTGCTACTACTAAAACCCGGTGCTACACTACTAGCTTAATGCTGCATCATTATACAGGCGCCAGCAACACATCAACCACCTGTATTAACGTCTATGCTTGTACAGCTGCAGAACAGGTGTTGCTACTCCTAATGTTCAGCTACTCCACATCAACTCTGTAGATTAAGATGATGACAGGATGTCGTGTGTGTGACTGTGTGTGAAGTACTGTTATGGATATGTGTTTAAGAACGCACCTCAAAGCACAGCAGTTCAGAAGGATGAAGCTCCCAAACCATGAGCTTTACTACGTTACCCACAATGCAGTGCAAGGTGGTTGATATATCCATCACTGCAGAGGTGAAAATGAGAGGAAAATGGTTGGTTTGAATGTTAACCCCCAAAGTTTTTATTTTATTTTATTTATTTTCTAACTACAAGTCTCCCTGAATCTCTTCTGTCCCAAAAGGGAAAAACAAAGCGAATCGGTACTTTGTGTCGATGATGGAAAGCTTTACTGTGACACATTGTTGTCATGGGAACCGCATGGCTGTACCTCTCTGTGTTTGTGCAGGAAAGGGAAACTGCAGCAGGAGCAGATTCACCACAGAGTGAAAAGAGAAGTCCAGGATGGCAGGTTGGGCATTGTGATGAGAG